TTTATAGTGTTGTATTTGTGCGATTACAGAAAGATGGGAGCGGTTTTGAAAACCACCCATAATGCGATTATTTGTGCTGATATTAAACCAAATATATGTTACAATTTGAGTTTGAATATGACAGTATCAGCTGGTCGACTCGCTTGGGTTCAGCCGACTGAGGCAACCAGTCGATTGACAATCGTGCTTGTCGAAAGGCAGTGAGTCGACCGGTTGCGATCAGACGCCCTTATATGAAGTTTGGGCAGTCAGGGCTATAGGCGTGGTTCGTCGATTGAGCCTCTCGCCATTGTGTGTCGATTAACACTGATCGGGCGATTGGTCGTTGAATGAACAGTTCAGATCGTGCTCTTCTGCTACAATACATATATTATCCAGCCATTATCATGGGCCGCTCGATTGCTTTGAGATTCGTGTCAGCACTTCTAGTATATAAATTTCAGTTCCCGAGTTTTCCTGCTTCTTGACAGTGATAGCTACGAAAAGATAGAGAAACTATTTAATAATCAGTGGTGTTAAAAACACGAAACATAATTCAGTAATTAACTTTTCTTTGAATTTTATGCCTAACATGCTCTATAAATAGAGTCATGGGCTTGGCATGTCATCCATCGCTATCATTTTTCCTAATTAATCGAGTTGCGTCATGGATGATGATTTGAGCCAGATCGCCGTGGATCCTAGAGTTCTTGGCAAGGTGGGCTATGGGCCCTCGACCTCTGTGAAGAAGAATGAGGTTAAGAAAGGGAAACGATCGAGGCTTGAACCTTCGTTAGCTGCTCAAGTTGACTCATCTAGAGATCTCGAGGGTGAATGTCGAAAGTCCCTCGTTAGGGGGTCTTGACCTTGAGTCTGGCATGGGTGTAAGTGTCAAGGGCAAGCGAGACCTACTCGCTAAAGGTGTTAAGGTGATAAAAAATGAGCTGGTGGGAGGAGCGATCATCGTCTCTCCTTAGCCACCACTGTAGGATGGTAGAGGTACGTAAGGGTGAGAGGAAGAGAAGCTCTTTAAGACATTTCTTCTACAGATAGATTTATGAATATGTAAGACTTTCCTTAGTTGATGGTTCTCAATAATTTTTTTATATTATTCCAATGTAGATGAATCAGTCGAGTCGGAGGACCGCCAGGATGGTGGGTCGACGAAGGACTCTGTGGAGTTCGCCCCAGCAACAGTAGCCGCTCTGCAGGCCGAATATGCAGGGCTACTGTTGTCAATCACTTCAGAAGGGTGTTGATTCCCTGACCTTTTTCCCTCCACTGAACGCGAACGAACAGAGTGGTGGTTTTCTTCCTCTGGAGCCATGGAGCAATAGACAGGGGGTCCGGTCCTTTAGTAATGATGCTTGATTCTTCAGGGGAAAAGACCAAAGGCACAACCATAGATTTTGTATGAGATGTATGCGATTATATTCTCATCAGATTACCTATCTCTTTCTCATGGGACATTCCATTCATCAAGTCATGGAATGGCTTCATCTATCAAACTTTGAGTCCTTTAACTTCTCATTTGAACCTTATTTAATAAGCTTGCTTTAGGACTCTTACCGATTGAATTCAATTTTTGAATTGAGTTCCCTTTTGAATGAGTTTCTTCTTAAATTCACTAAAATTCATATATTTGAGGATGACCTTCTTATTAACATCCTTCCTTGTATCCCCACTACATGAAAGTTGTCGTTCCCTAAGCTGATTTTCTCCTTTTAAAATGGACGAAGCCTATCACTTAATCCATTTCATCTCAGCATTGTCATTAATTTTTTAATGGGATTTGATTATTTGAAGAAGACATCTGATGATCTTAGCTTTTCTATGGTAGATCCCCAAGTTTTCGATGAGAAAGAACTCCATATGGAATTCGACTTTAAGTCTAAAGAAGATTTCTTACTCTTAAAGAAGAGAAATATTGACTGTTCCCAAGTTGTGACTGTTTTTCTGCTATTCAAAATATTTTTGAGGAAGCAAAAAAAACTCATCAAGTCATTTAAGTCACTAAAATTCTTAGGTCTATTAAAATGATGGATGAGAAATCAGTTGAGTATTAGGTGAAGTTTGTAATGACCCATCGATATTTGAAGTTGGTTCATCTTCCATGACAACAATTGTGCTAACCAAGACTTAAGAAATAAATAAGAATAGAAGACTTCATAAAAAGTAAATTTGAGCTGATAAGGAGAAGAAGTTAACCGAGAAGAATGATGCCTATGAAAACAGATCTGACTTATTTAAAACCTCTCCTCTTTTGGGAGGAAGTTGGTTTCACTCACTTTTTGTTGTTTAAGAAGAAGAATATATATGTATAATAGCTGATCATCGTCTTCCTTCTTTTAAGTATGAGAATATTAGTAAGGAAAAAATAAGCATTGGCATCCTCATTTACTTGAGATATTTAAGAGGATAACACATAGGGAAAATTGTACTATGGAAAAAGATCTTAAATCAGCAGAGGGCATTGTTTCCTAAGAGGAGAAGAATAAAATCTTAAAATATGATAGTCACCAAGGAAGATTGCATAATTATCAAAGAAGTTCCCATGCATAATTACATGGAAATAACCATTATCATGGAAGCTCTAAGCCTAGAACCATCGATAATATTATGATAATTATGTCCAAAAGATTAAGATATATATATATATATATATGTATTAACATTATGAGCTGGGCATTTAAACAAAAATCAAACTAAAGGATGCAATATATTTTAGATATTTTTCATATTCTAGAATGCTTGTTTAGATTAATTTTATAAAGATTTTGTTAATCAGTGCATTTTTAAATAGAGGCATCTGATAATTATAAATTGCTTATTTAATATAATTAATTAATTATTCAGAATATTTAAAAAATAAACCAAATGTTAATCAAATTGTGTCAAGCTCAAGACATGTAATTTATAGGGGACAAATTTGGCAATGAAAAATTTATAACACTTTATAGGTTGGGCTATATAAGCATAAATGTTTCAATATTTTGATTATAGTTCAACAATAATAATGCTAGGTTAAATAGTAATATGACCTTCAGATTGGATTTATATCCTCTGATTTGATACCCAATAAACCAACTTTTCATACATGATATATTTTAAGACTAAAATGAGATACAATGTAATAGAAATAAACAAATAATCTGCTACAATTTAATATATATATTAAATCTTTGAATGACACCATACATTGACAAAATTTGCAATTGGCATTCTGTTGCTTTAGTTATGCATGCACATTAATATTAATCTTGATGTAACAAAGATTTAATTAAAAATTATAGTAATGAAATAATTAAAATATGGCATTATTTAATCTGACTAGTTCGTTTCTACCATATTGCATAATTGTATTAAGAATTTAAGATGCCATATGTACATATGCGTTCGGGTGAATGAATTTATCGCCCTCCATTTAAATGCCTAGAATATTAAAATGGATGTTGGATGTCCATTTAATCTACTAAATTACACTTCCATTGTTTCATGAATCAACTAGAATTCAATGAAGCTTAGTTATACTTTTGGCATGTTTTAACTCGCCACAATCCAACATTACTAAAAATTCATCATATCGTGATGAATAGAGCGAAGTCAGAGAACCTTATTAGTACCGGACATCCATGTGCAGCCTATAGATGATGGAATGAAGCGTGGAAAACCCCAAATGGCATAGATATTCAACACATGGGACAACCTGTAATTACCTAGATAAACAACTTATCCTAAAACACGACCCGCAGGAGACCCGTGAGATTCGACCCGCGGTCTGCATTTAGTATAAAAATTCAACTTTGTTTTCAGATAAACCGTCAAAACCTGTTTTCCAAACAGTGGAAAACAGTTAGACGGTGTTTTAAAAACTTTACCCGCACTTATAAGCTGCCCCAAACAGGTGAAATATGTTTTAAAATTTATTTTATATTATAAAAGATATTGCAAGGAAATAAGTGAATTAAACTATATGAATAGATAATACTTAATGAATGAATTAAAATATATATTATAAAAGATATTCACTTATTTCCTTGAATTAAACTTTATGAATATGTGGCATGTACATGCATATCACAATTTTATGTATTTACAAATCTAACACCCAAACATTCATAACATGCATATTCTAAAAAATAGCACCCACTCTATCACTATAAAAATGAACATGTGTATATGACATCTCATTATAAAACTGAACATATGTACATGACATCAAGATATTATAAGCATAACAATCAAACTGGGTGTTAGATATGTAAATACATAAGAATTGTTTGGTATGTATACAATTTACACGTAACAATTTCAAGAGGCATTTACATACAAACCACACAATTTCTATTTACATATCTAACATCTAAACTTTCATATTTACATTCACAGCATTTAAATCTTTAAAATCACAAAAAAAATTTTCACTATTGCAGACTTTTCGAACGAGAAATACACATTTTCATGCATAGGTCTATGACACTAAAGTGTTATAAATGTAAATATGAAAGGTCAGGTATTACACATGTAAATACATAAGAATCATTGGTTTGTATGTAAATTTCCTCATTTACTTGTTGTAATACCCTAAAAATATTCCCCAATATTCTGCCGTTGTTAATCAAAATAACTAAGTACAAATTTGTGAAATAACTGCACATTCATTATTGAATATAATTAGAGCAGAATCACTTACAACCAAACAACCATCAGCTACAAGCGAATGGCTCTATAAAAGTGTTCAAACCAAATAAAAGATGGTATTTCAGAAAAGAAGAAAGAAACAAGGCGGGTAGAGCCATGTATCTTTTACACAAATTAATAACTCAAAATTCTTCAACGACAATCACCACCACATTATACAACCCTCTTTAACAAGAAACGGGAAAAATGGGCAGGCAAATGCAAGAATTAATAAGAGAATATATTCGTCCAACCGAGCTATTATGCCTATTTATACATCTCCTAAAACAAAATCTTTCTTATGGGCTAAATTACAGTGAAAACGAAAGCCAATATCCTGCTGTGAGGCCAAGGAAATTAATCAGAAAATCTATACCTCCTCTGCTAAACGATACTCAGGAAACCGAGAACCAAACCAATCCAGCCTCAAAAAACAAAAATGGCGCTCCTGAGGCATTTCAAAAGTTCCAGACACAACAATACTAATAAAGTGGGACAAAAGGCAAGTTTGTTTCAGAGCAGCTATTTTTTTTTTTTTTATGGACCAAAATCTCCCACCCTGGATTGAATTAATGAAATATTCAGGTAAAAAGGGCAGATGATTCTGTGGAATTACGTAATTAGCTAGTTGTAAATTTTCACAGGCTTTTCGAATGTGCTGTGACGATTCTGCATAAGAAAAAGATAAAAAGCCAGTGAGATGGAAGAAAAAAAAAAGATAAAACCATTAGTATTTGTTGTGCCTGAGGAATGATGCAGAAAAATACCTCCTTGGGTAAGAGTGAAAAGACATATTAGAACTAATAGGGAAGTGGTGGCCTTACCTGATTTACTTGGTAAGTCCTCTTTGGGGAAGTATCTGAGTGTTCCAATCCCAGACATTGTTCCCAAGCTCCATAAACGTCTCTTCTCTGAAAAAGAATACAAATGAAATTGTTTAGATAAAAATAAATATGCAGAAAATTATACAAAATTAAAAGTAAATCAAATGATGTAAGCAGCATGCATACCTGAAAACGAACAGAGACAACATCAGAATCTTGAAGATATTCAGGTCGGCCTAGTGCCAAGCAAGCAAATTTCCACTGATGCAAAAAAAAAGAAAAATTAGCTTTATCCAGTGGAATATAAACAAACATCCCCAAATAACAAGGGAGTAAAATTAAATAACAGAAAAAAAAAACCACCAAACACTTGCAATTTTCTAGCATTATAGACCTTCCCTATAAAACACAAGGGAAAAGAAAACAAAGATTTTGCGTTCTGGGAGTTTTGACCGCCAAGAATGCATCGAACCTATAAGAAATAGAATATTTGTTGCCATAGCGGGGTAAACGGGAAGGAAATAGGGAAGAAAGATGTTCATGAAGGGAAATGAGCAGAGAAGAAAAACAAGTTCTGGATAGCGAAAATAAGAACTGGGGAAAGATATCAAGATAACAGAATTTCAAAACATAAAAAGAGAAATTTACATACATGCCACACAATTCTAGTGTATTTACATATCTAACACCCAAAGTTTGATATTACACTCATAACACTTTGGAGTCATAAATTTATGCATGAAAAAGGTGCATTTCACTTTTAAAAAGAAAGTGATGGTAGTATTTTTGACATGATGTTAAAGATTTAAGTGATATGCTTGTAATAATGATGTTTAGGCGTTAGATATGCCAATTCATAAGAATTATGTGGTATGTATGTAAATGGCCCAAAAAAAGGACTAAAAACAACGCATGATATAAGACATCTTAAGAATAAGGTTTTTTTTTTCTTAACTATTTTATGATGGTAAGCACAAAAAAAAAAAAAAAAAAAAAAAAAAAAAAGAAAAAATAAACATCAAAATTTCATAATCGACCAATTTTTAGCTCGACAAAATGCATCTCTTTTGATGCAAATAACAAAACACGTAAAATAAACAATAATTTAAAAATAACGTAACCCTTTAATTATGGAAAATAATTTAATATTCAATAGAACAACACAATAATTAGGGTTCATATCACATGAAAGAAAGTCAGATTGAAATAGACTTGATCAAAACTTAGTCATCGTAAAGATAAATTTCAAAGTAACTCTGAATTACTGTCTTCAACACTTGCAACATGCTTAAGAATTCACATTCAAGAACACACATAAGATTAAGTAACTCTGAATTTTACATGTCTAGAGACCTATTTATAATAAAATATATATTTAAAATCGACTGTGTTTCACAAAATTCTACCATAACAGCAGAAAAAAGTCTCCGCATATAAGAATCCCATTTCCAGGAAATTTCATGCTCTTTCTACATTGCCAGAGCAGCACATAGAAACAAATCCCGAGCAGGAACATCACGAAGAGCAATAAAAGAATAAAGAGAGCTGAACATGGGACGAAGCCGACAACAAGAAGCAACCAAACACAAGAATGCGAACATACCTTCAACAGATGTACAATTCCAAACAAAAGCATAGGAACAATACATAAATCAGAAGGTAACAACAAAGTTTTTCGTACATTAGCGGCAAGAGCTACAATAGCAGAACCAAAAACAACTACAGAGGAAATAAAGGATATAGTAGATATAGAAAGCATAGAATGTGCGAAACAAAATAAAAAAAATCAACCCAAAAGAATTGTGATCTCAGCTACGATAAAGAGTTGGATCTGTGTTGAAACAAGGAGTTAACAGTTAGACCAAACTAACACGGAATCAAAATAAATCGTCACAAAAATTAGGGAGCACAATCAATTCTCAATAAAAGTCATCATCATAGGCATGGTTTAGAGGAGGAAAGAAAAGGAATAAAGAAATTGATATAGAGACAACTAAATAAAGATTAAGGCACACAAATTAAATTTCTGATGAATATAAACTTATAGGTTTGCATCATTTTGTTTTATTTGAAAAAATTTGGCTGCTATGAATTACGCATTTTGTATTTATCCAATAGATATCTTTTAAGATAATGCACAAGATACCTCTAATATTAACCAATAAAACAAGGAAAAATCTGTACATATAAGATAGTTTCTAGAACAAGAGTTATAACAAGAGTTAAAGAACTATCTGGTAAGATCTTGCATGTGAATTTAATAGGAAATGGAGAAAATAGAGAAGAATTTAATGGATTAGCAACAAGCTTTTAAATAAGTTCAGATATATTAATACTGACTAATACTATGTTTCCCATAATTTTTAAATTTATAGGCATGTGCAAATGCACCGTATGAATTTATACAGCCCCTCCTTTCTTATGGCTAATTTCCTTAAAGTCCCAGTAGCAAATGTTTAAGATTTCAGACATATCATTAAAAGAAAAAAAAATCTGTACATAGAAGATAGTTTTTAGAATAAGAGTTATAGCAAGAGTTAAAGAACCATCTGGTAAAATCTTGCATGTGAATTTAATAGGAGATAGAGAAAATAGAGAAATTTAATGGAAAAGCAACAAGCTTTTAAAAAAAGGTTAGGCATGCGTCAAATGCACCGTATGAATTTATACAGCCCCACCTTTCTTATGGCTAATTTCCTGAAAGTCCCAGTAGCAAATACTTTAGAATTCAGACATACTATTATCTTATCACCTGATTTGAATTTCATATATTTATCATATTTACAATAAGAAACTTATTTTTTACATAATCAACAATTAATTCCTCACAAATATCATGTCAATTATGCATATTATGCAAATGACATGAAGCAGGTAATGAATTACCAACATAATAATATGAATCATCCTATGATATTAATAAAGATTGACAGCTAAGATGAGATATTACACAAAAAAAAACACACACACACACACTAAACCTTAAAAATCATGATGCATTTGCAATGCAAGAACCAGAAATAGAAGGAAGCAGATGTTTCTTGTATCTAGTTTTGGTAAGAAATTCATGACAAGCAAGAAAAGTAAAAATTGATCTGATTTACATTACATTTCGTGAAGTCTAACATAGAATGCCAGAGAGAGAGAGAGAGAGAGAGAGATGATTTAAAATGTTATATACTATATTAAAGGTATACTAGGCAATTCCTACCATGAAAAGCTAATAACAAGGTAATTACTTGAACTAGGTCTATAACTTTTCATGTGTGCTTCTTAGCTGAGTCTTCCATTCTTCAAACTAAAATTCCCTTTCTTAAGTTTGCTTTAAAGTACTGAAAAATTTAGCATTTTTTTTTAAAATTAAATATAGTAATTATATAATGATATCAGTGCATAAAGGAATTTATCAAGACAGAGAAAAAAAAGTATAAAATAGCAAAAATAACTACAAATGCAACAATAACAACAAACCTTTATCCCACAAAGTGACGTCGGTTAAATAAATCTTTTTTGTCCATTGCATCCTATTATACATGATATTTTCATTTAATTCTAATAGATTAAAATCATTTTTTATACAATAAGCCCAGTCTTTTAGGTTTACCTCAACCTTTCTTAACATAAGTCAAATCTAAAACATCTACTCTCCTAACAGGATCATCAAATGATGGACGTTTGATGTATAAAAACAATCTAAGATGACTCTCTCTAATCTTGTCCGCCACTGGAGATACACCAACCCTATCGCGGATATATTCATTTCGCATTTTGTCTCTAAGTGTCAAACCACTCATCCACCTTAGCATTCTCATCTCAGCAACACTTAAATCTGTTTTATGCCTCTCTTTTAAAGGCCAACATTTTGCGCCATAGAGCAGTACAGGTTTCATCGCCATCTTATAAAATTTTCCTCTAAGCGACGCTTTTCTATCACACAATAGGCCCCATGCATTCCTCCACGTCAATCAATCAATTTGAATTCTACTAATAACATCTCTATCTATATCACCATTAGTTTGACAAATATAACTGAGATATCAAAAACCTTCAAACATTTTAATGATTTGATCACCCATAATTAAAACTCTGTGACTAGAGCTACTTCTATTAAAATTATATTTCATGCACTACTCAAACCAAGGCTTTTAGACTCCAATGTAGGCCTGCATAATTCGAGATTTTCTTGAACTCATTCTCTAGTCTTATCCACAAGAAGGATATCATTAGCAAAAAACATGCACCAAGGTACATCCAAGGTACATCCTGTACATCCTCCTGTAAATGTTTAGTAAGAGCATCCATAACTAAAGCAAAAATATATGGGCTTAAAGCCGACCCTCGATGTAATCCAGCTGAAATAGAAAAATCCTTGGTCAACCCTCCTATTCGAACACAAGTAATAATTCTAGCACACATCTTTAATGACTTGAACATAATTTATATCAAAACCTTTCTTCTCTAGAACTCTCCAAAGGACTTCTCTTAGAATTTTATCGCAAGCTTTTTCTAAATCAATAAAAATCATATGTAGATCCTCTTTATTATCTTTGTACTTCTCCATCAAACCTCTCAAAAAATGCATAACGTCCATAGTAGACCTGCCCGGCATAAATCCAAACTGATTATGAGAAATCTTTGTATCACATCTTAATCTATGTTCAATTGCACTCTCCTATAATTTTAAAGTATAACACATCAATTTAATTCCTCTATCGTTTGCACACTGTTGTGCATCCCCTTTATTCTTTAAAATGGGGACCAAAATACTCGTCCTCCTCTCCTCATACATCTTTTTATTTTCTAAAATAACATTAAAGAGTTTAGAGCCAAGAAATTCCAATATCTCCTAAATATTTTCACATTTCGATTGAGGTATCATCATGCCATACCGATTTTCCACCCATGACTTTCTTTAAAGCCCCCTCAACTTATTTTTCACTAATGCAAAAGTAAAAATAAAATGTTTTATTATTATTAATGATATTAATATTACTAAGGTCGATTGTATTTTAAGAAACTTTGTTAAAAAATTTATCAAAATAGCTCACCCACCTATATTAAATCTCTCCAAGAAAAATATTTTTTTATTAATACACCTTACTTGAATTAAATTTCTAATTTTTTTTCTCATTATTTAGCTAATTAATACATATATTTTTCACCCTATTTAGTATCTAATCGCTTATAAAAACCGCTAAAAGCAGAATTTTTAGCGTCGTGAATCGTTCGTTTAGACGCCCTACAGGTCACCTTATATTTTT